GTAGGTTAGGGGCATTTTACAAGCAGCAGCAAACTGCTTTCTCCTTTCTTACAAGTATGGATAATGCATCACCCCTAACCTGAGTGAGACTGTCAGATGACTGGCTGGTGCCCAGCAAGGCCTGAGGGAGTGTGACAGGGGAGGGGTGAGTGCAGGTGGAAGCCCCACCCCCTGAGGCCATGAAACAGTGTGAAGTTCACTGAGGAAAGAAGGAGCCTCCAGTGTCATGTAGAGGCCTAGATCTACCTAGGTGTGCAGCTACCTTTCTAGAAAGAAGAGGATACCAGAATAAGGCCAGACAAACAGCACATCTCAAGAATGTCCGCAGGAAGGAGGATCATAAGGTCTCGTCCTATGTATTCTCCCAGATCAGCTCCTTGACGTCTCCTTTCCAGCCTCCCTCATTGTAATTTATCAGTCCCTCTTCTGAACCCCCATATACTTAACTTTTGACTCAGTCATAGCCTCCATTATATTTTCCTCTTTATTTTCATTGTATACATTATTTCCTTTACTCGATTAATGTAATAGTGAAGGCCAGGCACAATGGCTCACACCTGTAATCCTAGCACTCTGGGAGGCCCAGGCAGGAGGATCAGTTGAGCTCAGGAGTTTGAGACCAGCCTGAGCAAGAGTGAGACCCGTCTCTACTAAAAATGTTAATAGAAAAATTAGCTGGGTGTGGTGGTGGGCGCCTGTAGTCCCAGCTACTCGCAAGGCTGAGGCAGGAGGATGGCTTGAGCCCAGGAGTTTAAGGTTGCTGTGAGCTACAATGACACCATCATTGCACTGTATCCTGGTGACAGAGAGACTATCTCGGAAAAAAAAAAAAAAGGTAATCGCAAAATTTCAAAACATCATGCAAGTGTGGTGCTAAGCTGTTTGTAGAGGCAGAGATTGTGATGATTTTGTCATCGTCATTTCCCACATCACCACTTCTTTATCCAGCCTTTGTTGAGCACTTGTGGTGTGCCAGGCACAGACTAGGGCCGTGTTAGGATAGCGGGGCATGAGCCATAATGAAAGGGGTTTGCTCCCCCGGGAGGCCGTGTAACTGCATTAAAGCACACGTTTTCCCAGTGGCAGGCTCAAGCCCACTAGCTGTCTTTTCTGTGAGCACTGTTGCAGGCAGTGATTGCCGGTGCATTCTTCGTGTTTGGTATCTTTCCCTTTAATCTCAGAGTCAGCTGTTTTCTCTTCTATTTCTTATTGTTCCTAGTTCTCTTATTGTTCCTAATGCCCTTTGATGTCTTTGTTTCTTAGATGCATCGGATTTTTTTGTTTTATTTTTGTTGTTTGAGGAATACAGTAGGTAAACATGAAAAGAATGTTAATAAGGCTAAAATTAAATTAGGATTCTCTGGACCCACTGAGAGAAGTGCTAATGGCAGCCAACTAGTACTTTGTGTTCTTGGCAATGGGTTCTGCAACATTTAACCCAGATTGGCTGCACAGGTTTTCTTTGGATTTCACTCTCCATCACCCATCCCCACCTGCATTTTGATTGAGGACAGGTTGCTTAATGCAATTTGTTTGTGCATCAGTTTCTGGATTTTAAAATCATGATTTTTTATTTTTTTTTTTTTTTTTTTTACTTGCCCTACTCTTGCGTTCTCAATTTTGTAAATTCTGACAATGTATAAGA